TAGGAGGGGTCTAGCCTCAGGCCAAGTTTAGCCACAGCCTGTGCACCTCCAGGGCCACCTGTTAAGAGTCACCAAGCAATCCACATATGGCTGCCACCTGCATTGGGCTTATAGGTGCCTCGAGGGGCCAAGTCAGAAACTGAGGCTGGCTGTCACTGGTGTGGGGCTCAGGGCTGCTCAACAAAAGGTACAAGGCATGCAGAGGCCAGATGCTGTTTCTTTTGGGTTTTGTGAGCCTTTGAGATATTTTATGAAAGTTCTCAGAAGGAGCCAAGATAGCCAGTATGTGTAGAATAAACCACAGAAAGAAACTTGGGTGGGACCCCAAGTTGGGAGAGGAGGAGTCTCAGGAATCCACTGGACGGAGCAACCTATGTCTGCAGGCTGGGAGGAAGAAGGGCTCAATAAAGGAACAATGGCTTCTGCCTGCACCTCTGTCCAGGGATAAGATGCCCCTCCAGCCTTCGCCATGAAGCCCAACAGCTCAGCATCTCCTCGTATGTCCCTGCCACCCCTCGAGTGTCTGCCCTAGTGCTGGAGCTCAGAGCGAGTGAGTACATCAGTGAGTAAGGCCAGGCATGGACTCTTCAAGAGGAAGATCTCCACTTCCCACAGCCCTCCATCTCACTCAGCTGCACCTTCATTGGTTTTTACATCCAGAGGTTGTGGGGACTTCTCTTCCCAGCAATGGAACCCTGAGTTAGAGACCGCAGTGTGCAGCTGGGACCCCTCACTCCTCAGGTTGGGGAGGTGGCTCTGCAGCCAAGACAGCCCTCCTGATTTTCGATCACCACACGTGGTTGTGGAACCGGGCCATTTCTCATCTCTGCCCTCCTGCAATTTTGAGGTGACCTGTTATTTGAGGTGACCTATTTGTAGGGCTTCTATTCAGCTAGACTTCACAAACTGGTTGCTCTGTAGTTTCGTTATAATTTTGGTGTGGTCACTAGAGGAGGAGTACACAGCCACTACCTCTTATGCCATCTTGAATCTAAATATCAGATAATGCTCACTTTTAATCATCCTTTCCTGTGCCTGTTCCCTCATATGTAAAATGGATAGAGTATGTGTGCTTGAGTGAACATCTTGAGGTGGAGAGTAAAGGACAGTCATCCTTATCTTAGCTAACAGGATTTATCTGAGAGCTATTCAGATAGAAATAAAATATATGTACAAGTTAAAATATTTGCTATAATTATATCTTCCCTTCACCCCAAGGTAGTCTAATTCCTGGCTGTGGAAGACAGCTGTTTTGTTGGGCACCAGAGGTCCCCCGTGGCCCACCATCTTTCCTCCACTGGCTCTACCACAATGCTTAAAATCTCCTTGATTCTTACTCCTTTAGTATTCATGTATGAGTCTTAAAATGTCTGGGAGAAATGATATCTTATGCCATTATCATCTACTAAAACTCTGTTTAAAATTATCTTATCTTACTAGTTGGTGGGTCATGTAGCAGGTCTCAGCGTAAATCATGGCTCCTTAGGGGGAAGAAAATGGTTAGAGAGGTCCGGAAGAGACCACAGGGATACTGTAGAGGCCATCCCACTGTAAGGGAGAAGGGTGGGGAAAGGAAATCCGATGGCAGGTTGTTAGTGGTGTCTGCTTTGACTTTATTTTGGAGAACTACCCTTCCTTCTTTGGATATGGTTTTGTTGGGTCTCTTTAAGTATCCCTTAAGGGAAGGAATAAGTGTATAATCTGAGCATAGCCAATCAGATGCTGTGTTTCAGGAACTGAATTCTGAGTAGGACAACACAAAATTCTGATGTAGTTAGAGGATAGCCATCTCCATTGGTGATGCCCTAAAGAGATTGATCAATGGTTTTTGCTACCTAAATCCACAGAGTTGCCCTGATCTCTGGCCTTCCTAGCCTGAGTCTTCTACCTGTTTTGCTGCCTTCCAGTGAATTTACTTCTCTTACTTTCCCCCTCTCTGCCTTAAGTTAGCTTGATTTGGTCTCTGCTTGACACCAAGCCTTCTAATGTAAATAAACACAATTTGTTTAATACCACAATTTAAACCTGTTTCCTTCTGTAGTAACAGAGAGGTAGCTAAGGTATGTTACTAAATGCTCTATCTGAAGGCACTTATATCTCTAATATCTCTATTTTTTAAATATATGAGTATATTTGGCCTAATTCAGAAGAGAATGCAAATGAAGACCATAAGGAAATACCATTTTTTTTTAACCTGTCGGAATGGCAAGGGGTAAAGAGCCTGAGCTACCCTTTTAGGGCAGTAACAAAGTCTGGAACATGCTGGCACAGCCCCTGTGGGGGCCATTCCAAATACTGAAACAAAATTTTAAATGCACACACCTTTGACCCAAAAATTTTACTTCTAGGAACTTACACTAGAGATGTATCATATAGCCAGATTATTATACAGTCATTAACAAGAACGAGACTATTCTATATGTAGTTACATTCTCCACTACACATTAAGTGAAGAAGATCGGAATTGTACTAGTTGTGTCAAAAATATGTAGAAATATTCATAGAATCATTTTTGGAAAGATTCACAAAAAGTGGGTTATGGTTACCTCTGGAATGGGAATATAGTGGCTGGGAATAAGGTTGGGTGAGGAAGCAGTTCATTCTGTACTGCATTCTTGAACTGAGTGTTGCCTCAGATTTGTTTTCATCATTATGTTAACAAAAGGAGGAGGAATGGACAATGGGGTGCTGGTCTCTCTACAAACTCTTAGAAGCTGATGTGTTCTTCGTCAAACTACTTCCTAGACAGCTTGGATTTACTAGGAAAAAAGGAGGCATTTGGCCTATTTCTTTCTCTCTTTACCTCTTGTGGGCCATTGTTTAACTTTATGCTCTTATATAGAATATATCTTCCTGGAGGAAGTAAAATTATTATTTTTCCCATTATAAAAGTGCCACACTGTTATTACAGAAAATACCGAGTCAAAAGATGAAGACAAAACCTGCCCATAATCTTAACATTTTGCTTTACTTTTAACATTTTGCTTTACTTTTAACATTACTTCTTAACATTTTGCTTTACTTTTTTAGTTTCTATGACCACACCTATATAAATAATGTGTACTTTACACACATGAGGTCATAATGTTTTATAAACTTAAAATAATATTTGGTAATTTTTCATGTATTAAGTTTTTTTCTTTAATGGTTGCATAGCATTCTTGCCCTATTGTATAATCATTATTCACATTCTTAATCTAAAATTCTGCATTCTTTTTGCTCATGAGAATCTAAAAATTAAAATCACTGTTCTATTCTGAAGTTGGTATAATTATTGCCCAATAAGACCCCTAGCCCACCCTAATATCTAATATATATTATTACCTTGTCTTGATTGCTGGTTGAGTGACCAGTGGTAAATAAAACATGTTTTGCTTGTTTGTTTTTTGTGATCAAGCTCATAGACATTGCACAGACTTGTCATGCTGAAGAGCTGTATGAAGGTTGAAATGACCTTTAGCCCAGTTGGCCTTCTGAAACTGCTATCTCAGCGTCAGGCTGTCGCAGGAGAGAGCTTGCACATAAACCTTTCATTATCAATATACTTTAATATCATCTTTGTACCAAGCCCACAAAACTATGATAACGAGAACTCTAACTCTCCTCGACATCACCGTGAAAATCTTTCCTCTGTAGGTTTTAGATAGTGCTGAGAAGTCTTAGCTGAGCAAAGTGCAAGGGGAAAGGAAGCAAAATTCTGGACCATCATTTGCTTTGCTGGACGCAAAAATTCTTCTGAGTAGTTAAATCAGGTAAGAATGCCTGCATTTTCTTGGAGTGGGAGGAAGGGATCTTGAGTCATCCATTGTCTCAGAGAATGTGAGGAAACCTTAAACCTTCATCCCATTTTCTTAGCTTTGGAAAACTATCACAGTCTTGAGGAATGGAGTCTTTGGCATGGTAAAGATGTGGCAAGTGGCTTGCTATTGTGTCATTAGAGCCTCATCATTGACCTTGCAGGATTATGCTAGATTAAATGCAAACCTTTAGGAAATGTAGAATCCTTTAAAATGTAATTACTGCTTTAGCTCTCCAAGGTTCATTTGCCTTCTGAAGGCAGACAAGACATTTGCTTTAACATTCAAATTCAGATTTTAATTATTAATGAGAAATAAATAGTGCTAATGGGTTCAAAGAATTACAAAGAATTGTAATTCTGGCAATGAAACAGAGTAGTAAAACACATGAGTTACTTCACTGAGATCCAATTAAGAAGTGGAAATTCTAATGTTAAATCAAGGGCCATTGCTGATTTGTATAAGGGTCTGGTAGTGGTAATCAGTTCAGCCAAGCAAAACTAGCAAAAACAAAACAAAAAAAAACAAAAACCAAAAACCAAAAAACTTTATCCTCATTGTTATTATTTACTTTTATCCTTTGCTACATGGTTTGTCAACATATGGGATCCTTTTGTTTACTGAAGAGGGAAATTTGACTAATACCTGGCTTGAGACTATAGATACCTCCTTTTCCATGCTATTTTCTTACCAGGTGGTATTTGAAAGTTGGAACGTGGAGTTTTAGGTCAAAGGTATGTTTTTCACCTTTATGTGGACAAAATAATTCTGCTTAGTCCGTGACCACAGAGTACAGCCCTCACTCTAGCCAGCCTTCTCACAAGTGCAAGTAGACCCATAAACAGCATCGTCACCAGGAATGAAAGCAGTAATGATGTAGCCAAAGAATGCAAATAGATTTTAGCTTAGTTGCTAATGTCAAATGATGACTGATGGCTGCCAGATTGAGCGCTGTGCTGAGAAGGATTTAGAACCCCATGTGAACTTTCAAAGAGTGCTGTAAATGATTGGTGTTGTCTGCTACGAGCTTGGGATATGGAACTAGTGGCAAGAGTGTTCCGTACTTGCCTGGTATAGTCTATTCGTATGAAAGGGCTTACAAACTTGGGCAACTTGAAGCACGTGCATTTTAATTTGTGATTCTGTTTTTTTTTTCTGCCTATTCCATATTTCTTCTTCCATTTCTGCTTTTTCTTAGGAGAAATGGCCAAACGTACCTTCTCCACATTAGAAACATTCCTGATTTTCCTCCTTGTGATGATGACGGCAGTCACGGTGGCCCTTCTCAGCCTTTTGTTTGTCACCAGTGGGACCATAGAAAATCACAAAGGCAAGTGTCATTCTCTCTCTTGGATGCTGTTCCTAGGCCTGGAGGACATTTCTTGATTACTGGGGACACTAAGACAAGAAAGAATGTTTGCTGAGAATGCTTATAATAAGACAATTTATAAGTACTTAAGTTGCCTAGGATAGCCACCTAACTTTTACATTAATTGCTCTTTCTGCATTGACAGCAATTTTTATCAAGTTTACCTTTGCCCCCAACATTAATAGTATCTGACATGCTTTTTTTGTCTTTTACTTTTCCACTGTTATTAGCACAGTTCAGGATTCTTCAAGGCACAGTAATGTGAGATTTGGCCCCAAGCCTCTTCTCTTTCTCTTGATCTCTTTTTGGCATCTTCTTCTCATGGGGGCAAAAGGAGAATGGAAGAGCCACTGTATATCAATTAGTCTTTAAGAAGACTTAGAGAAGGAAGTCTTGAGTTCAAATCCTGATGAGGGCCAATCAAGTTCTGTTAATGAGGTGGAGTAGGGAGGTGAACTGAGATAGTTTTCATGAGGAGGGTCCATAGTCCCTCCTGATTGCCAGCTGTTTGTTCTTATAATATCATATGGACCTACATCTCCTGAGTTTTCAAGAGATGGTAGAAATTGGGATGATTTTATTTTTAATGTTAGAAATGATTTAGTTTTTGAAACTCTCTAGGCCCATGCATGAGTCTTTGATGGAGCTTCTACTTTGGTGTTAGGTTATATACCAGTTAAACCAGTTGAGAATTGGAGATTGAATGCCTTGACTACAGCAAAGGGAGGGCTGGCCTCAGGCCAAATGGAGAAGGAGACAGCATTTCTTCACTTCAGTTTTCTCTTTTGTGGCCTTTTCTCTTTTCCAGTATATTCTCTATCATGTCCCTGTGCTTTGAATTCTCTGCAAACCCCAGAGGAACAGAGACCTTCTGTGCCAGCAGCGAGCAGAGCAGAGTCTTGGACTGCTAGAAATGAAAGAATTTATAGGACTTATTTAGTTCTAGCTCTTAAAATGAGAAAATACAGAGACTGAGACTCAGGGAGATTATCAACAAGTACAGTAACTGTTCTCATGGTAGAAGCTGCTGTTTATTGAAGGGTTAGTATGTGTCAAGCATGGTGGTCGGGAGTCTATATAATTTTTTCATTTAAGTCTCCTAAAACTTCTGTGAAGGTAGGTGTTAGTACCATTTTACAGATGTGGAAGCTGAGATTCTAAAATTGCAAAGAGCTTGCCCATGGCTATGTGACTAAGTTTTGCTTTGGTCGGCACCACATTCCTATGATGGTTATCAATGAGGCACTAACAAGGGTGTCTGCTTCTTTCCTTGCAATACGAGATGTCTTGTAGAAAATATGGGCTTGGGGATGGAAGACGGGGATTCTAACTCCATCTGAGAGTGGTTGAAAGATCATGAGATTCTGAGTCGAATGATCTGCTTTGGGCACCTGATTAATCGTATGCTTCCCATGAAATCTTGGTTGAACTCACTTCTCTCGGCTTTCATATTGTCATATGTAAAACTGAGGATATTAGACTAGGTAATCTCTAAGATTTTTGAGCTGTAAAATTCTAGGATTCCAGAACAAGTTTGCTGTTAATCTCTCACTTAAGTACTTCCTGACCACTAATGCCTTGTGACACTGACATTTGCTGCTTTGGCCACCCTTAGCTGTTGCCTATAGTAGAAACAAACAAACAAGTAAAATGTATAAGTATGATGTCTAAATATGTAAATAAAACCAAAGCCATAAGCCAGCCATTGCTCTAAAATTTTAATATGCATTAACATATTGTTCAAAACAACCCTAGGAGGTAGGGTATTATTATTATTATCTCCATTTTATTGGTGAGAAAAATGGGGTGAAATAACCTAAGTAATTTGTTCAACTAATAATTGGCAAAATCAATTTTCAAACCCAGGTTGTTTGTTTCTGGCACCTGCCCTCTTAGACTCTATGCCATTCTGCTTCCCTGGTACGTGTGTGTGTATGTCTCTCTCTCTCTCTCTCTCTCTCTCTCTGTGTGTGTGTGTGTGTGTGTGTGTGTGTGTGTGTGTGTGTGTGTGTTTGAGATAGTAATAAAGAACACAGTGTGTACATGCACATATATATATAGTGGTATGAAAATTATTAACAAAAGGTAGAACTATGTCAACAAGTATACAATGATCTAGGTTGCATTAAGAATAAAAGTCTTTTAAAAATGTTTTGAGAAGGTTGAGGAGGATTCGAGCAGGGTAGAAACAACTGAGGTGGCATCCTGGAGATGAGGGATTGAGATGGATCTGGATGTGGTGGAAATGAACCAACTCTAAAGTGGGTAGTGGAGATTGGTTGGTGGAGCAGAAAGGAGTGGGGTCTCTGAATGGAGAGAATGGTAGAAACAAATTTCAAGAGTCTGGATTTAGTAGTCTATGTGCCAGGAACCTGGCACCTGATTTGTTTGGCTGGTGTGGACGTGCACAGTGAATGAATGAAGGGCTATGAGTTTGACAAGGAATGACTTGTGAAAAGAAGCTGAAGAGGGACATTTGATGGAGGCCTTGATTGTTTGGCTGAAGCATCTCTAGCTCAAGAAAAAGATTCTCCTGAGGATTGATATAAAACAAGTTTCTGAGGTAATTCTCATATTTATTATATACAAGAGAGTATGCAAAGATTTTTTTTTTCTTTAAGAAACTGAATGTATGTGTTTTAATTGATGCCAACAAATAAGTGGGCTGAATTGTTGTTTCTCAAATATTCTGTTTTTAGATTCAGGTTTTCCAGCAACCCAGGGACCTCTGGCCACCCAGATCTCTTCAGCCAATCAGGGCTCTACAGCCTTTCAAGGCTCAACACTCACCCAGGAACCCACGACCATCCAAATGTCTCCCATGATGACGACCCCTGAGCCGCCTCTATTTCAGAACTTTACTGGCTACCATATTGGTGTTGGGCGAGCTGACTGCACAGGACAAGTAGGCGATATCAATTTGGTAGGTAAATAATGGGTTCCTCAAAGAGGCTGCGAAACAAATAATTTTATTATTTTTCATCCTGCATTTATTCCTGATTATTACATCATCATCTTTTCACTTTTGTATTGACTTCACTGCTGTATAACATTGTAAATACTGTACTATGAGGAAGAAGGGAACTTTTGCTCAATCACAACTCTCTTGTGTGGACTCACCGTTGCCGTATATGACAGTTTTGTTTTGTTTTGTTTTGTTTTTTTCAAGAGAAGCCAGAAAATCTCTGGATTGAAGATCTGAAGATTAAAATCTCTTGACTGTAAAACGTAGGCAACTCTAGTTGGTTAAAACTGGAAACCTGGCATGGGCCAACACTGTGTAAGCCAAGTAAAACCCTTCAATTGTAGGTGTGGCTTATTGGCTGCTAGCATCGACTTCTTGGCTATGACAGTGGCAATATTTATATCAGCCCTTCCCTAGGAATCCAGAGCATAAAATCGTCTGATGGGATTGTCTGCCTCCTGCCAAATAATCTTTAGATTCTAGGCATTACAGCTGACCATTGAACATTGCAGGGGTTAGGAGTGCAGATCCCTGTGCAGTCGAAAATTCCTATGTAACTTTTGACTCCCTGAAACCTTAACTACAGTAGGCACTTCACATCCACAGATTTAATAAAACAGTCTCTTTGATTTGCGGTTGCAAATGTAAAAACACTGTTTTTGATCCACGGTTGGTTGAATAAGTGGATGCAAAACCTGTGGATACAAAGGGCTGACTGCATTTATTGAAAAAAATCCATGTGTAAATGGACCTGGATATTTCAAACTTATGTTGTTTAAGGGTCAGTCGTATTCCCTGGTCTCTGTTCTGAAAAGTGACTCTGGAATGTAAACTATAAATAAACTCTCGCATGAGATAAAGCAAGCAGTAGGGGGAACATTCTGAAGACCTGGCTATACTTTAAGCGTGAGTTTTATGACATGGTGAGAGAAGGGGCTTGGGATAGGTGTGTTTGATCTGAGTTGGTTTCAGAGAGGACAATGTGGGAAAAGCCAGGTTGAGGTGCCCCTCAGTAAAATTACTTAATTAAAAAGAAATCATTTTCTTCAGAAAAAAAAAAAATCACACATTAACAACCAAAGCGAGGGAGGCTTCAATCTTCAAAATGTTTCCAGGCAATGTGGATGGTGGGAGAGGAACTATTTCCTTGTGTAGTATCTTAGGTAGGAGAAAAGGTTTTGTTTCAAAAAACAGACAAGCCCTGAAAGGTCTCCAGAGTAGTAATGAAATTCTGAGCCAGACTGGCTCCTTCCTTGACTACAGGTCAGTGAATAGCTTCTGCAGAGCTGATCACTACCTTGCTTTTATATTTTTCTACATAGAAGAGTAAAGCCTCTTTTATGATGTTGGCTTTATTCTTGAAAACACATATATTATCTCACTTAGAGCTACAGTGCCATGTGGCTTGTTTGTCCTTCCTAAGTAGTGTCTTCTCGTATGATTGAGGCTGCTTCCCAGTAGCAGGGGAGTGAGATGAAGTGGCTCTGATCTTCTCTTCCTCTTTAGATGGGCTACGGCAAAAGTGGCCAGAATGCACAGGGCCTCCTTACCAGGCTGTACAGTCGTGCTTTCATCATGGCAGAACCCGATGGGTCAAATCGAATGGTGTTTGTCAGCATCGACATAGGCATGGTATCCCAACGACTGAGGCTGGAGGTAAGCGATTAATGTGAAAAAGAAATGTCATAATTTAAAATAAAGCTCTGGGTAATGATGACAGCAATTAAGCCCTCTTGGTTTCTCATACAGTAAGTTTCTACTACCCTCAACATTATAAGCTCTTGACGATCCAAAAGACAATCATATGAAGAGACTGATCCTTATTTTTCCATTCTAAGTCATTTTGGTCAAACTTTGCTCTCAGTTCGGCTGATAGCTCACCATCATTATTAATGCTAATTTTCTTGAAAGTTTATTATGTTCCAGGTGACCCTCACTCTTCCTGTACATTCTCTCCTCTACTCTTCCTTGTTAGAATCCCGAGAATGCCAGTTAATCAGTAACCCTTCCCTCAGGTTTTTAGACAACTGAGAATAGATGCAAAGAACCAGATGAAAATTAAAATACTACACTGATGAGATTGAACATAAATTGCTGAAGTTGGATGATAGGCCCATGGGAGTTCCATTATAATTGTCTTATTATTTTTGTTTATGTTTGAAAATTTCATAATAAAATTTAAAAAGAATACATCCACTTTCTTAATCTTTAAGCTGTATTGTAGAATATGGCAGATTCTTCCATAATTTTTTCCAAACTTAGATCTTGTTATTCACTTGTGGATCCATTTGAACTTAGCAGAAAGATGCATGGGAAGGGCGGAGGTCCTGAGCTACCTGAAACTTGTAGATAGAAAGGTAGAGATGGAGAGATAGAGAAGGAGAGAGGCGGAGTGGGGAGAAGAAGAGGGAAAGAAGTGGAGGAGAGGGGAGGGGAGGAGAAAGAAGAGAAAGGAAGAAGAAGGAAGGGAAGGGAACGGAAGGGAGGATAGAAATAGAGGGATAGACATGGGCTTCCACGTCTATCTCTCTAAGCCAATTTCTAGGCCTTGACCCAGTTATATTTTCTGTATCAGATCAGGTCACAGAAGGAGAATGTGCACTCTTAATGTCTGCTTTCATACTCATGAATGTGAGAAAGAAAAGACTGGAATACCCAGAACAGTGACCATTAATGTCCATTATTCAGTGTCATGTTAATCTCACCTATTAAACACTGTATAAGGGTCCAGCAAGAGGGGTGACAGGACAGCCTAAAAGTGTTTCTCCAATGTCACTCCCTCTTGAGGGGTGGGTAGTGGAATGGAAGCCTCTTCCATTTATGGAAAGAGGAGCAGGGAATTAAATATCTTCCTCACCCCTACACTTACGACAAAACTGAAGTGGGTCTGTTATTCTTGTTGTATGGATAAGGAAACTGAGTCTTAAAGAAGATAATTGACTTTTCCAAATTCAAACAGTTAGTGAATGGTAAAGCTTGGTTCTGAATACATCTATACCTGGTCCCAGACCCCATATTCTTAAAAGTGACATCCTATTATCTTAGAGGGAAAAACGCATTGATAACCTGCTTTTCGCAAGGCACTTCGCTAGTTATTTCAGAGGACACACAACTAAATGAGTCATAATCCATGTCCCCTGTGATCTCACTACCTAGTTGGGGGATAGGAGAAAGGACTATAACAGAAATACGCAAATAACTATAATTCACTGAAGTAAAGCACGGTGGTGAATTAGTTATCTATTACTGAGTAACAAATAGCCCCAAACTATAGTTGCTTCAGACAACAAACATCCATTATCTCACACAGTCTGTAGGTCAAGAACTCAGGAGTAGCTTAGCAGAGGAGTTCTGGCTTAGGATATCTTGAAATCAAGGTGTCAGTAAAGACTAAAGTCATCTGAAGGCTTGACTGGGGCTGGAAATTTCACTTTCCAGAAGATTCACTTATGAGGCTGTTGGCAGAAGTCCTCATTTCCCCACTTTTCATATCTTCATGACAGAGCAACTGGCTTCCCTCAGTGTGAGTAATTCCAGAGAAAGATCAGGAAAGAAGCCACAGTGCTTTTTTAACTCTGGCTCAGAAGTTGCACACCATCACTTTCACCCAGTTCTAGTCACTGGAAGCAAGTCACTAAGTCCATTTCACACTCAGAGGTAGCAAAGGTAAGCTTCTCGAAAGCAGGAATATCAAAGGGCTTGTGGACATACAATCTTTTAAATACACCACAGAGGGTTTCAAGAAATGGAAATTAGGGGAAAATTTCAAAGGGAAAGTGACACTTGAATGGGAAGAATTTTAAATGGTTAACATGGAGAAGGAAAGCTATCGAATGAGGGGACAGCATGAACACAGAGGCATGAAGGAGGAATGCAGACTCTTCTCTGAAGGGACAGAGATTAGCTCTATTCGGACATATGTAGGTATATAATTAAAGATGTACCTGGAAGGCATGTTGGTCATAATTGTGGAGGTCCTGGGATGCTTGGTTGTTTTTTAGTTCTGTAGGTGATGTGGATTCTTAGAAAACTTTCAAATGGAAAAGTGATGCAAATACAATTTTGCTTTAGGATGATTAGTCAGGCAGTAACATTTGAAGTGGATTGGAATAGACTAGAACTAGAGGTGAGGACACACAGATTGACAGATCCTTTAAATTAAGATCACTCTATTGGTGAGGGTCCAGTTGGGAAAACAGTAATCACACTAGGCACTTCGGATAGAGGGGTTTTACCAGGTGTTAGAAGGTCAGGGTTGCCGGAAAATTGTTAAGTTTGTCTGGCAATTTCCCCTGCATCAAGTAAGGCTGGCACAAAAGTCCTAAACCAAAGGGGTCGCAGTGAGACTACATGGTGGTAAGAGGTCAAATAGAATGCTAATGAGATTTGGGAATGAATAGGCATAAAGCTAACACTTGACATAGTCCCCATGATGAGTCAGGCACTGTTCTCTCTATATAATTAGTATATTATATCCATATGTATTAATTAAACTAGTCCTCCCAACAACTGTATAAAGGAGGTAATATTATTATGTCATTTGACAGATTAGGAAACTGAATTACAAAGGACGAAGTAACTTGTCCAAGGTTACACAGTTAGGAACTATCGGAGAGGAGATTCAAACATCTTGGTGCTAGAGCTCATGCTCATTACCATTGCACTATACTGTTTTTCTGAGGAATCAGAGATGGTTCTGACTGGGAAATGGTGGTGTCATTAGTAGAAATAGGAGAGTCAAAAGGTAGACTTTGAGGGTGAAGTGTTTAGGGGAGAAAGGTTTAATGTGTTAGGTTGTAGATGCTATCAAGTCAATAGTGGGCACTATTTAACCATTTCTTCCTATTTTTATCTCTTCATGCAATCCAAGACCCAGCAGGAAGGCTTTTAAATGAACCCACTTAGTTATCCCAAGTTAACCCAAGGGATAGTGTGAAAAATAAATGTAGCTGAACAAGTGCCATTGTTAAGCTTACTTTTAACACCTGGTTTTAGGCAGATTCTCAGTCTTGGCTTTAAGATTGATGAAATTTCCGGCATGGAATAAAGATTAAGGAATGATCTTTGAGCAGAGAGGCAGAGCAGGAAAACAGAATGACTTTTCTGCTCTTTTCTATGTCATGCTCCCAAGAGTGTCAGTAATAGGAAATGGAATGGGAATTGAATACAAAGAAGTGAGCTGTAGACATTAATGTAACTTCTTTGCTCTATGTTAAAATACCCCTACTTTCATGAAGTAGAAAACATGTTATTTATAATGGCTATTTGCAGGCATTGGTATTAGATGATTTTTAAATTTATTTTTCTTTTCTTTTCCCTGGAAATTCCATGTGCCTTATTTTATATCAGAGATTGTAGTTTAGGATAAAATTTCTGAGTGGTTTTAATTGTTTTCTTTTGTTTTAAAATTCAGTATTCATAATTTCTATCTTTTTAAGAGCTTGATTCTTGAATAAACCTGAAGAAATACATTTAACTCTAAAATCCTAACATTATAATTTTTTATGAATAAAAATGGGGTAAGATTAGGGGAGCTTTAAAATGGACCAGCAGTTCTTTTTTTCACTACCTTGTTTTGGCTATAGAATTGTAAGAATAGCTTTTGACTTTAGTTAAGCTTTCATGGTGTCTTTTCATTGACCACTCCTCCTTCTTACAGATATTTTTTCTTCATGAATTTAGTAGTTACTGTGTGGAAGAATATGTAAGAGTGATGACAAGTTGGGGCTGGAGTTAGGGTCAAACAAAAGGAACATGAAAATTTACTGGGATGGAAAATGTGTGTTACTTGGTCAGAGGGCTGCTGGGTTATATCATATTTCCTTTCCACATTTACCTGGCATCACAAGATTGCTTCTCCATGTGGCCTTAGTAACCTAGCAATTGACATTTGGATCATAGAGAGGTTAATGAGGTAAGATAATTTGTAAGATTGTCTTCCTGATTCAGTGATCACATAACTAGAATGAGGGTGTGTAGCTCTCCGCCTAAAATAGAAGAGATTGAATAGATGTTTTACATATGTTAAGTATATAGCATCCAAATTGCTGCTAACTCTTACATACCAGTGTGCTGAAACCAGCTTGTACCAGCCCATGTGAGCTGTTAAATATTCAGGAACTTTGTGAGCTAGTTGTTAAACTTTTGGTAGCTTGAAATTGACTATGGTGGGAGTTTTTACCCCACAGAAATTGGCAGACAATACAAATAAGGGCTTTTTTTTTTTTTTTTCAAAGAGACCATTTATCAGCATACTGCTGCCTACGCCATAGTCAAGATAGACCGCACTACTAATCGAAAAAGGCACTCTGTTTTGTTAAGCCCAGATTTGGATTCTCAACAAACTGCTCCTGAGAACAACTGCCAATAAATAGGACTGAGTACATGAGATATAAAGTATTTGCCATCTCTGCCATAAATGAGCTTTCCTTGTCGTCCCTGGTATTAGGTGACGGTATATTACATTGAGGGAGGCTGCTTTGGGTTTGACACTTTTGCTGATTTCAATCATTTTTGACATAAAAAATTTCACAAGAAGCCAAAATAATTACCAAACATTAGATTGTTGCTAGTTCAAGCATAATCAGAATAGGTTATGCATTTGGATGTTAAATGATTAATTAATTCAATAAATATTTACCAAGTCCCTTTGTATTAGTCATGCATTGCTGTACAACAAGCCATCCGGAAAACTCAGTTGTTTAAGGCAACAATAATCATGTATCAGGATTTCAGTGGGTCAAGAAAACCAGAAAGGCTGGGTTAGGTTACTCTGACTTATGTCAGAACCTCATGACATACCATCATGTCCGTGTCATGAGGTGGAACTCAGGTATTAGCTGGGGCTGTAATTGTTTGAAGGCTTGACTGAAACTGAAGGGTCTCCTTCTAAGTTGCTCACCCACATGGCTAGCAAGTTAGTGCTGACAAGATGGTTCCTTTCCACAGGATTGCTGGTGTGTCCTTCGATCATAGTGTTTGTTTCCTCCAGACCAATAAGTATATGATGATCTGTGTCAGGGAATATTGAGATCTTCAATTTGGGAAGTTAGGCAATTGAGTAAAGAAGCCTTTGCACTGTTTGTTCACTGCTCCCAAGATGCTTTCCCCCCGGGCATTGCATGACCAACTTGCTCTCTTCATTTAAACCTCTGATGAAATGTAACTTCTTTGGAAAGATCTTTCTTCACTGACAACCATCACTCTCTTTTTCCTTACCCAGCAATATTTCGCTTCATAGCATTTATCACGATATAATATTACATATTTATTTGTTTATTATCTTTCTTCCTCATTAGAATAAAAACTTCTTCAGAGGAGAAACCTTATATATTCCTAGTGCTTAGAACAATGCCTAGATATTAATGCTATGTGTGGAATGATGAATGGGTAAGAGTACTGGTTCTTATAGTTAAAGAGACTTGGATCCGGATTTGGGCTGTGCTATTTATTAGATCAGTAGGCAATTTACTTCTGTACACTTCAGTGTTCTCAGCTAAAAGATAGAGTTAAAAATACCTACCTTTTGGGATTGTCATAAAGATTTTTAAATGATATAATGTATGTAATACCTAGCATTGTGCATGCTTGCACATAGCAAGCATCTATAAAATGTTAGCTATTGCAATTATTATTGTTATTGTTGTTACTATGATGATATTCTCAAGCTATATATACTATATAAACTATTTATGTACTATAGATCTACTATGATGATATATAGAGTGAGGAGCCACTTGACTGGGATGTCATTGATATGGATCAGTGACTGGACTAATCAGTCTTTTCTCATGCTAAGTTCCTACGTTATCCCTCTTCTGAGTTCTGTTTTTTTTTCTTTTTCGAAGGTGCTGAACAGACTGCACAATAAATATGGCTCCCTGTACAGAAGAGACAACGTTATCCTGAGTGGCACTCATACACACTCAGCTCCAGCAGGATATTTCCAGTATACTGTGTTTGTAATTGCCAGTGAAGGATTTAGCAATCGTACTTTTGAGTACATGGTCACTGGCATCATGAAGGTAGGCAAAGAACCCTAGAGACAGCTGTTTTTTTTACCACCACTCATAGAGTTTTAGGAGTGGTTTAGTGTGCTATGGAGACAGCCCCTATACGATCTTGGTCTAGCACAGTCTTAATACCTACCTTTCTTTTCCCTTCCTGACTCTCTTGTAGCTTCTGGCCCCAAGCTATAGGCTATTAAGTCTGAGACACTGATTGGTTGAAAGAGGAGGGTTCTATGGCAGTAAGCTTTATGCAGTCATCTAAAGAAGTAGAAAACATTTTGTATGTAACCCTTATAAATTGTAGGGCCCCACATGGTCTGGTCTCTGAATGAAGTCACATGAAAGAAAATCCATCAAGGAACCAAAAGTAATTACAAACAGTTCCAATCTTTCCTTGTATTTCCAAAGCTTCCCTTGTATTTTTGAAAGAACATAAATGGGTATCCAGTTTATAAGTGCACATCCTCATTTGTCAAGTCCTCTATAGCAGCTTTAGACTGACATGGTTCTCCTACCAGTACCCCCAAACTCGTTTCTCATTCCTGGTTTGGGTTCCTTTTTTTCTCCTCTCTCTCCTGTCTTCCAGCTTATTATTTTCTTACAAGGATCCTCACCAATGTTTTCTTCATTCCTTTGCCTTTAGGGTTTAGTCTCTCTTTACTTTATCTTGTAAAGACACTTCCACAATCCAGGGATCCAGCTGGCAAAGGCAGAAATTTCTTTAGAACAATGTTTTTCAAACTGTAGCTAGTAATCTATGAATAGCTTTATGAAATCAATTTCATGGATTACAATAAGCATTAACAAAATTAAAATAAAATAAATTGGAAAGTATCAAAGTGCATAATACACAGTAAGGGTATAATTTGTTTTATGTACTTCTGTTTTAGGATATATATTGATGTTTATTAAGTTATGATGAAAACTGTAATGCTTACTGTGCTTCTCAAAGTCTGAAAAAGCCTGCCTTAGAGGGTGGTGGGATGGAGAAGGTAGGGAGAGTAGAAATACCTACATGTTAACAAGTCCTGTCCCAGTGTTGTAGGAGTCAAATCTCCCATTTGGGCCATCTCAAATGGCAGCTTGTGTCTGACTCAGCAGTCCTGAGAGTCTCAGGTGCTGATCAGCACTGTGCTTCTCTATACACAGCACTTTCTCTATCTCAGCCCTGAAGGTCATGTCTGTTTACCTACCGAACGACACCAGACCTGTGGTTCTCCAGCTTTCACCCCACAGTGAGAACAGGTTGGAGACAAAGGAAATTGTTCACAGATCTCTTCTGTTTATATTGACTAAATCATTATCTCCACCAGGATTTCTAACTTTACAACTCTTTTTTTTTTTAAACCCACAGAGCATTGAGATGGCACACACAAATATGAAACCAGGCAAAATCTTCTTTAATAAAGGAAATGTGGATGGTGCACATATCAACCGAAGTCCTTATTCTTACCTTCAGAATCCACAGTCAGAGAGAGCAAGGTGAGGGAGAAGTTATCAAAATGAAATCTTGTGATTTTTTAGGAAAGAGCAAAGAAATCTAAGAACAGGTTATACTTGATGAATATGATAGAATCCTAAAAGAGTATTAAAGCTAAAGTAATTTAAAAACATGTTTATAATCTAAGACAAGCAGAAATAAAAAGTAAATATAGAAACACACACCAACCTATGCATATATCTTTCTACTTTGAGGGCTGTGGGAGTCATTATGAATATTTGAAGGACTCCAGACTTTGGATTCTGACACAACTGTGATGTCAAATTAGCTTTATCACTTCTTAGTTGTGTGACCTTTAAGATGTATATATTGATAAGAGATTTACTTAATTTATTGGCTCTGTTTTTTCATCTGTAAAATAGAGATAAAAATGTGCATAAAATATTTGTTAAATTAATAAATAGCTCTTCTTATTATGTTATTTAGAAGAAATCATCTTAGTTCAGGAGAATGTGGCAAGAGAGAGAGGAGATAAAAGAATAATAATAATAATAAAACTGGAATGTAGAACAAGAAATAAAACTAGAATAATTGAATGGAACACTAAGGGAGATGATTATTTTGTTTTTTTTTTTTAAGTGATGAGCCAGGTTTGCAACAGAAGAGAAGTACTTGGCTACTATGGCAGTAAAATAATATCTCAGTTCAACCTGACCACTTGACATTTTACATTTGTCTGTATATTTTTCAATAGCTGTCAGAAGAGTTGATTTTTAGAAAATATAATCTGACGTCCCTTAAAAGGACATAAGAGAATACTTTAAGTTGTAGGTCATGAATGTTCTTGATTTTGCATATTCCTTGCTATCTTTAAGGAAGTCCATTATAATTTGATATGAGTAAAGATTTCAAAGAGAAATCCTTTTTGTAAGAAATACATGTTATATAATCTTGCATACATTACATAAAAATATATATTTCATCTCCAGCTAGCTGACCTAACGCCCCTAACTCTGATCACAGTTGCACACCATTTCTTTAGCAGAGTAATGAGGTCTGGATAATGCAGTCCCTGGGACTACAGCATGTCCCGGAGCCTTGCTTTTTGAGAGGCACGCTGGGTTTTGTTTCTGCACCAGCTTCTGCTGTTCATTGTACATGGCGGCCAGGAGCTAACATAAAACTGACGAAATTTTTTTGTTGTTGTTTTGCTGACTAGGTATTCTTCAAATACAGACAAGGAAATGGCAGTCTTGAAGATGGAAGATTTGAATGGAGATGACCTGGGCGTTATCAGGTACTCAATTTACTTAAAAAAAAAATTCTGTCTGGATAGCTTTCCTTAATTACAAGGGTAGGGGGTGGGGAAGAGACTAGAATGGTGTCAGTAGAGGCTGAGAATAAGTTGAATTGTTAGAGTCTAGACTCAGGAGTCAGACACATCTGAGATCCAGCCATGGGCCCAAGGGTAAGGTGCTCAGCCTCTTAGTGCTTAGTTCCTCCCCTGTAAATTAAGGCTAATGAAAGGATTGTATAAATGAGGGATATGGGTGAAGAAGTTTTGCATAGCATCTCACATATGATATAAAGACTCAGTAAATATTAGTGCTTATGACTATATCAGGATCTCATATGTGGAACTTACATGATGGTGGACAGTTATCTCTTGGTAAAATGAAAAAAGAGTCTGACCAACCAGGCAAATGAATATGGATTTGAGATTATTTACCTGTGTTCTGCTAAAAGGATTAAGTTAAGTCTAAATAGGACAATGCTATTTAGTGATGAAAGCAGACCACCTGAAGGAAGCAGATGAAATAAAATTATAGCTTGGCACAGATTTTAGCACTTTTTTATACATAAACACATGGATTTCGTTTCTTGAAAAAGAAGGCATTTGCATTCATATGTGATTTAGGCTGCTGCAATCAGGCTGACTCAGGAACTGACTGGGTGGGTTACAGTGCAAGACACTTTGATATATGGACTCCCAGATGACACAGAGATGCCCTAAGGAAGTGTACGATAGTGCTTGGGTGCCAGTCAAATGGCTTATCTACTAATACCTCAACTATTCTGTTTGAAAATGGGAATAATAATAACTCATAGGGTTATCTGAAGATTAAATGAGATAATGTAAGCAAAGCTGTAGGTCTGTGCCTGACACAGAAAAAAGTTTAATAATTTTAGCTAAATTACAAGAAGTAGGTTAATATACCTCTTCCAAGAACTCCTTTATTGGCATAAAAGAGTACTTGAAATTCTTAGCATTGAAATTTCTTCTTTGGGTTTTAAGTGAGGACACTTAAAATTCCCTGATATAATAAACTTTATTACCTGGGTTGATGTAATAGGACTGATTCATCTAGTGATTAGTTGCCACCTAGCATTTAACTCAATAGACTTTTCTAAATGACAGGCATGCAACTATGTGCTTGGGGTATATTATGATGAATAAGGCATGGTCCTTATCTTCAAGGGTCTTATATGCTAGTGGGATGATTGAGATAGGAGCAGATATACAGATAGACGAGTAACATAAATCTGATGGCCATCAGTACTGTCAGCTGGACATAAATAAACGCTGTGCGAACTTGGAGGAGGGAGCACTGAGTTCTAGTTGGAAACACTGAAAGACTTCAAAGAAAAAAAAAGACATCTGAACTGAACCTGAAGGGGCCAAGGAAGTTCTCGTGGAGTCATGAAAAAACAGTGAGTTGTGAGGCCAGAGTATGGGCTAATTCAGGGGGTGAGTGAGAGATAAGTCTGGAAAGGTAAGCTAGCTTTAGATTGTAGAGTATATTACTGGAGACTTTGGTTAGGAGACAGGGTAATAGCATATATCTATGACTAGTTAGATGGAGTATCCCAAATTTGGTGGGAGAAGAAAGTGGCTTTTCCCTTATAGTTTCTATCTATGTCTTGGCTGAATGACCAAGACCATTTACAATTCCCTTTTATTAGTTTTTGAATCACTTAACAATGATAACAGACAACTCAAAAATGGTATCCTTTGCCCAGATGTTCTTAGCTTCCTCATATAGAACTTTATAATATACTTAGAAGTCCCAAGGTCAACTGTCAAGGTTATAACAGCACTTTTCCATCTGCTATGCTTAATACTCTGAAATAACTTTCCATTGTTTCTATAGCCACCATATGTTATCCTCGATGTAACTGCTCTTGCTGTCATCTCTTATAGCATAGTGATAATTGCTCTTTGAATACATTAAAAATGATCTAAAACATAAAGTTAAATCTGGGCTGCTAAGTAATTCAGCCATCACATGTAGGTGCCCACTGTTAGGCAAAATACCAAAGTAAGAGGAATTTGGAAGCACAGAATCGCAGATTTGCAAAACACAGAGATCATCTAGTTCAAACTTCAGCTAAGGCCTAGAAAGGTGATGTGACCTGCCCAGTGTCACAGCCAAGACTCTTCACAGTGAAAACCATATTGAAGTTCACAATCTATTTTCTTCACAGTGAAAACCATATTGAAGTTCACAATCTATTCCTTCCTGCTTTCATTTTGTTTCCATTCCTTCATTCAGCAAGTCTGCACTAGGTACCTTCCATGCGCCATGCAACATGTCCCAGTCCTTAGAATACTACATTCTCTGGCCTTGAATTCAGGAATTAAATACCTTGGAATTAAGTACCTATGTCTGTGCTCTTTGAGCAAATCCCTTAAACTCTCTTGAGACTCAGTTTCTACATTTCTCAAATGTGGATATAACATCTTCTCCCCATTCATTCATTCATTCAGTCATTCGATATTGCAGAATATATGTGTCATGAACTAAGCTACTAATATAGATACTCTGATGAGCAAAAATAGATGTAGTTGCTACCCTTACAGAATTTACAATCTACTGGTGGAGATCAAATGTATTCACATAGTCATACAAATACCTGCATAATTGTAATTGGGTTAAGTGCTAAGAAAAGAAGATATGTAAAGCTATCTTAAAGAGATTTGACTAGGTCAGAGAGACTGGGAAAGTCTTCCCTGAAGAAATGATATGGAGCTGATAACTGAAGGAAGGGTAGGAATTAACTGGCAAAATGGAGGGTTTAAAAGAACTTTTAAAACACGTGGACAAGAATGTACAAAAGTCCTGTGGACCATTTGAAGAATTGGTAGAAGGGCTGTGTGGGTGGAATGCAGGGGACACTGGGCAAAGTGTTGTGAGGTAAAGTTAGAGGTAGAAATTAGATACCATGATAAAGATTTTTGTCTTTATACCAAGGGGAATGGAAAATTGTTAAAGTGTTTTAAGCTGGGGCTGGGAGTTGGGGGCTCTTGAAGGGTTAGGGTGAGTGATGCCTTGAATAAAATAGAATTATGTGCATGAAACTATTCTATAGATTAGTAAATCCTCTGATAATGTGAGACCACCATTTGCTCCAGTCGATCTATCTATGCAAGGAGAATATTTCTGTCTTCTGGACTAATATTACCTTATAGAGAAACAGTAAATGACTTCTCTCCAGGTGTGGAGAACATGTTTGGAATATTTGAATTCTGAATTAAAATGTAAGCTGTGCGGTATTTACAAAATTCACTTCGAGAGACTTTGGAAGGCACCTCAAAGAATGAGTCTGTCAGCCAGTAAAAACTGAGTCTTGAGAAGTCCTGATGTAATAAGACACTGGGTGTGTGTGAAGAAACTATGAAGGGAGAAAACAAAGAGGTGTCAAATGTCTGCACCAAAAGGAAAGTCATAAGGGTAGATAATGTGAATGTGGTGGAGAGCCACTTCTCACACAGTCATCCTTGTGCAGGGAGCTCCGGGAGTGGCTCATTTCCTCAAGTAGGTGCAACAGGACAGGCTTTGTCTCACTTCTCTTCCCTTTTCCTGTCTCTTTGCTTCTGCCAAGTTTTCTTCCTTGAGTTTGCAGGAGTGGCGTGGACTTTTTTTGTTTTTTTAATCTTCTTAGCCCTCTAGTAGTTGGTATGCCATAGCTTCTATTTGTCAGAGCTCGAATGATTGCTCCATTGCCTTCTGTTGCATACACTGCAAATCCTTTAATTTTACAGAAAGATCATAAAAGGGGGCTCTTTAAAGGCACATTTAAAAAAACAACAGAAACGGTAATTTGTTCAACCTATCTGAATAATTTGTGTACACACTTAGAAAAATCCAATTTATGAAACTACATTAATTTATTCAAATGATATTGACTTATAGAACTCAGTCATGGTATGTGTGTGTTTGTGTGTGTGTAAATCTTCTCTTAAGTCTGTGACTATGACTTCTTAAATTATGTCTGTCTATTGCCTATGGCTCTCTATTCTACCCTCTGCATTCTCCCCTCTGTCTAGTTAACCCCACTCAGATGGCAAAAAGGGAGACCTCAGTGAATTGCCCTTCACCAGCCGTTTTTGACCTCTCCTCTTTTCTTCATCTTGTCTTTGTCCTTATAAACGCCTCTTTCATTAGTATCAACTCTGGTTTGTATAGGCCTCTGCTTTCCATTTCTATATCCTTCATTAATTTCTTTCCTGCTCTATCCCTTCTATCTTGTTATAAAGTTTGATGCTGTCTTCCTCCTCCAGCTTTTCTATCAGCTTGTCTGTGTTCCTCTCTAATAGAGTAAGGGCCTCAGTTGTATCGTGAGTTTTTATCCTACTTCTCGTCTATCCCAGGTAATGTGAAGGGGCTCTTTGATAACGAGAGTGATGATAGCTGACTGATAACAGAAATAAATTATACTTTTAATTTAATTTGTCCCAAGTTTAGAAACCAAAGCCATAAAAATCAATTGTCAAAACTGGCAAAAGACATTGGACTTACTTGAATGTTGAGTATCTGGAAATTTCTTAATCCAAAGAGATTTAGAAGATTATTATTTTTTCCAAGTTTTTTGCCTGTTATAAAAATAATATGTACTCACCATAGAAAATTTGAAAAATGTAGGAAAGTAGACAGAGAGAAAAATTAAAAATTAACTCAAAGTTATATTTTCCAAAGTCAACCATGGTTAAATTCAGATACATTTTCTTCTGCCTGTTTCCCTATTTGGAACATAAAGAAATAAGTATGACTTAAAGGTCATTCTGTAAATATGGATACTTATTTGTTTTCTCTCACTCTGGGCACTAGAAGCTTTAAAATACTATGAAAAATATTAACAATATTATCGCCATGTACTGAGACTATCAAGTGTTTTTTTTGTAGTGACTCTATCTAATAATGACTGTTTTTGTCTCAAAGTCTATATACTCTCATGTTAATATAGCTAAATAATTTCTCTGCAGGTTAGAATTTGTCATGCAAATACTATCATTTT